TATATGAACGATAAACACACAGTTCTGCAGCAGCAGCATGAATATGATGTATCTATATCATCTGTGTACACCTGCTCTGTGTGGCTCTGGGTTCAGGCAGCTGCAGGACACCACAGTGACCGCAGCACCACCTCCTGTTCTCCAGTGCAGAAGAAGGTCCACACACTGAAGGTGAACTTTACACACTGTGACTTTGTTCAAAGTTAAAACTGCTTCACCTCAAACTCAAGTCGCAGGGAAACGATTCAGCGTTTTGTTTTTCCCCCGAGTGACTGGCCTGGACACGTGTTGTCTGTGCTAGCCACAACAGGCTAACGCTAGCTTAAAAAACGTAGCTGCTAACTAATGAACCATTAGCAAACGTCGCTTTAGTTTTTGACGGTGAAACGCACAGAGGGCAGGTGATCGGTATCGAGCTGACTTGTTCCATTTATCTAGAAACGGTGTAAACTCTTGTGTGCGTCCTGGCTCAGAGAAATCAGGTGTTAGCATGCATTAGCAAGTTTTAATTGATTAGCCTCCATTAGCTGAGTGAACCTTTGGGTTAGCAACAGGTGTTGTGTTCAGCGGCAGCCAGGTCAAAGTGTGGGATACAATTCATGTTTAATTTTACAGTCACTTGTTGTAATGGTTTAATAATTTGTTCTTAGATTAAATATAACTATTAAATTTGCAAGATGACATTTTAAAAATTATTTTTTCCCCTCAAACTGTCTAAAATACTCACTTTTTTATAAGGAAAGTTTCCTTGAATCGAAACAAGAAAGAGAAAATAATCAGTTCATGTAACAGAAGTTAATAAAATGAAATAACACACAAATGAAAGTAAATAAATGTTCTTAAAATGCTCTAGGAGATTAAACAGATACTGATGCTGCTGCATGTCTGATCTCAGGTAAGATATTTCCCCAATTTTGGGAACAAGTAGAAACTCCTCAGGCTGAAAAGACATTTAATTGACTTGTTTAAAGTTAACATCTCTGTAAAGTGGATCGTGGTCTGTGAGATTCAGCGTTAGCTTTCAGTGACAGGCTTCATCAAAACTATATGACGTGAACATTATGTTAGTGCTGTTGAATTGCAGAAAATTAACACCAAACATAATGTATGAGTAAATATCATCTCCTGAGTCTGACACACCATCATAACTCATAATCAGTCTATCACACTGATGTCCATTTATATTTAGTAGATTAATGCATAAGACAAACAAAAGACTGGAATAATCGAAATTCAAGTGACTGTTAAAAGTGGAATACTGTTGAACAATTGTAAAATCAGGCATTTTATTGATTTTGACAAACTTAAAACAACACACAACTTTTATGTTATCATCCATTTTTCTACAGGTTGCCTGAAAATCATGGAGGACCAAGAAGCATATGATTACAGGCCAAGAAGATGTACTGCCAGTTTTCAGTCTCAGCCAGACTTTGAGTCAAGCTTGCAGTTTGATCAACCAGTTTACAGCGGTGCTTCTATGCTGAGGTAACATTAAAAATGTGTTGAATGCCTTTTACAGTAACTCTGCAAAGACAAACAGCTTAGTGATAATTGTACATTTGGTTAAGAAATATATTCCTTGTGGCCTCCTGGTCTCATAATCGATAGAAATAGTTCAGCACATCACAGCGGTGACCTATTAATCCATTCTTCAAACATTTCAAATGAACTGTCACAATTATCTCTCTCCCATTGGTACAAACTTAAACATTATCTGTGTCGCTTCAGCAAAAATCATTAGCAGTGCACTTTAATGCTCAGGCCAATAAAACCAAACAGTGGCTGTTCTATTCACAGTAAGTTGTCTTTTATTGTGTCACGGCTGCTTGTTACTGAGGTTTCAGAGCAGGCAGATGAGGAGCCTGCTGCTGAGTGTGTCCACACACACTGTCAGTTACTGGAACTCATTAAAGAGTGCACCCATAGTTCCAGGACTGTGGACAACCCAGTGGCTCATTTGGTTGTGACAACCTTCATGTGCTTGGTTTCAAGTACAGAAGATGATTAATTGACTGTTGAGCCTTTGAAGAATCCCATACTCTTGAATTTCAACCTAAAACCAAATGCTTGGTTTCTGCTTGGTGACCTTCATCTAGATGTTTTTTCATGTGTGGGAAGCATATTTGAAATGTTGCAACCACATTTGATTAGAAATGCTTAAATGTTTGATTTTACATCCTATTTAACCATTGAGCTACTGTGTTGATGTTGTGATACTTTGGTACCTGCAAATGTTTCTAGCCCTCTCAAGAACGATGCATATGCCTGTGGAGACTATGACCAGGCTGAAGAGGTGTCACTTTCTCAAGAGAGTGACAGATTCAGAATAGGGAAGGCCTCCAGCCCCAAACCGAAGGATCGACTTGGTTCCTGCGACTTCCAGTTGGAAGATGAGGTAAATAAATGGAAAGAGTGAATGTCTGAATTTCCCAACATTTTATTTGCTGTTTTATATCCAAACAAATGTAAGGGGTTATTGTTTAATGTCCAGGGCCTTTCTGTGTAGAGTTTGCATGTTCCCCCCCATGCCTGCGTCTTCTCAGGGTACTCCAGCTTCCTCCTAGAGTCCAAAGACTTGCAGGTTAGCTTAATTGGACTGTCTAAATTAGGCCTGTGATACTGGCGACCTGTCCAGGGTATACCCCCACCACTCATATGTCGGGAGGGATAAACTCCAGCCCCCTGCCACCCTCAATGTACAAGCAGTATAGATTATGGATGGATGGTTATTGCTTCACCTACAAATCTGATTACAAAAATGACAAGCTGATAGCAGCTGCCACTCTGTCAGCTTGTCACCTCCAGTAGCTAATATTTGAGGATGAATACCTAATATACATCTATGTCGTATGTAATTATGTGCCTTACGCAGAAGGTGTCCTTCACTCAAAACCTGTGATGATGTAGGGATAAATGATCGAGATTACATCAAGGTGAAATCTCAACATCTGTGATAGTTAACGGCAGATTACTGGCACAGAACAGCAGTGTATGATGTCATTCCTGGAGGGGTTGAAAAGCCATCTGCAGCCACCCACCTTGTCTACTAAGCTACGAACAACAGAAATACATTCTCAGTGTCTAAGATTACACAGCCCATCTCACCTCCCAACAGCATGTTTACATGTGCTGTGTCTTCACATGCTTTAAATTAACATTATAGAAAGGGAAGCCCCAGTTTTGACAGTTTTCTTTTTTTTGTTGTGTTTAAGGATGAAGTCTCAGATGATGAGCCAACTGTCTTCTCCCTCCCTGGTATGTCATCTGGTGAAAGCGTAACCCTGGAAGAAGAGATCATCTTGGACCAGATCGAAGACAATTGCACAAAGCCTGAAGGTGCAGTAGACGTCAGCATTCAAAATCTTTTTCTACTCTGATTATGCCAAAAAATACATATTTCCATTGCTTCAAACATCATGAATTTTCTATGTAGTATGTTAAAAAAGTTCAGTGGAGCTGCAAACAGAGCTCTGCAGCTTGTCCAGAATTTTGCTGCCTGTCTGGTATAACCAATCTTTTACACTAACCCTTCAAAAAAGTTTGGATGTATTTGACAATTTGCAATGTATTCAAACACCCCCGACAAGGTTGAACACGTTGCTCAGCTCGTCAGTGGTGCCTCCGCTGCTGTGTCACCTGGGTGAGATCACTTATCTCTTATCATTCAGGGCTAAGTGATAGTGCTACTGGAATCCTATTGCAGCTTCTGTCCAAGTTCAACTCTGCTGCTACTGAAGTTCACAGAGCATTGAAGAACTTCTCCCTCTTACCTCAAAGCCACAGTCAAACTCTGTCACCTGGACGAATAACTCTTCTCTATCCTGGCCACACTGAAGTAGCATTAACTCCCCACTGCTAGCTGCCACTTTCTTATCTTTTCTTCCAGTCTGGCAAAGTGAGTGGCACAAGAAACACATGGCAGCAATAAGTAGTGAGAAGTTTGACAGCCTCCTGAAGATGTTTCCGGAATTCCAAGACTGCAAGAGCTACATGGCGGCATTCGTTTTAATTAGGGGTAAGATCATTGTACACCTTGGGTCAGTAAAATATCTTCTTTATTGAACAACCAGTTTATTTTTCATGTTTTTATTATTTTTTAAATGTAAACCATATATCTGCACTGCAATAGAGAACAAAAATCTCAATATTACAGTCTATAAATTCAACACATTTAAACAGAGCCGTGGCATATTAAATGGCTAGACATGCTCATTTAGCATTCTAGTACTGATCCTGAAGTTTTCCAAGCATGAAAACAAATGTCATGGTCAATTGTAGGATATCACACGTTAAACAGCTATTTTCTTTCATATGATGTTGCAGCCAGTTAATTTTCTTTTATTTCTTATCAAGAAATCCTGATTGATTGTGACTGGCAAGTTTTCAGTCACAAGGCTGTTTGAATGGAGACTGATGGCATATAAATGATATTTCACTCTTGCTTGCTTCTAGCTCTTATGTGTTCCATCCAGGCTTTTGTTAAACATGTCCGTCAGTTAAATGCCCTTCACATGTACGTCTCCATAGCATATCTCAAACATTAACTAAAGCAAAAGGGTAATGAAACATTGATTGAGAAATAGTTTCCTCTACAGAAGTGTTGGATACTGCAGGTCAACCCTGTGAGCATTACAAGGTGGTGGCAGTGGGAGCTGGACGTTCAGGCTCCACCGAGTGGCTTGGCTACAATGGGACGATGGTCCATGACTGCCACGCCATTGTCATCACCAGGCGTGCTCTCCTAAGGTATGAACTACTAATATGAATTATGACCTCCACCTTTTTATAAAAATCTGAAGTCTATACAGGCCAAAGGGACATTTTCATGTGGTATCCATTATTTTATTTCAAATAAAACATCCAGAAACTCTCCAGATACTTGTGGATCTTGACTGTAGTTACATGTTGAATTTTTGAAATGCTGGAACAGGAAATGCCCCCATTTCTAATTTTTGAAATCCTAACTTTAAATGCTAGTAAATATGTAATGCATTTTTCTCGTTTGATATTAAAGATGAAGTCATGACGCGTGTTTTCCTTACATGTTAAAATAGCTGATTTTCTTTGAAATGCTGGTGTGGCTCAAATTGAAATGTGTACTTTGTGCTGTGTTTGTGCTCAGGTTTCTGTACAAGCAGGTTCTTCTCTTCTTTGATGCTGATCCAAATGCCAAGGAGAACTGCATTTTTGAGAGCAGTGCAGACAGCCATCAGCTTCAGCTCAAACCCAAGATCAGCCTGCACCTCTACACCAATCAGTGTCCCGACGGATCCGCTAAGGACTTCTGCTTCAAGTACAGCACTCTAAATGATAGGAACTGGAAATTGAATTGTGTTTTTGATTTGATTTATATTTATTGTCTTGGTATACGTTTACCTCGGCTGATACATGGATATTACTTACAAACCTATAAAATGCAATGTCATGTTCTGCTCAGGGGCTCTGTGAACAACTCTTGGACGACATTGAAGCTGCTGTATCACGCCAAAGGCCAGCTGGTCCCTATAGTCTACCTTGAACCGAGTATCTGGGGCGCCAAAGTCTGCTGCATGTCCGGAAGTGACAAGCTGTGTCGCTGGTCTTTCACTGGGGTTCAGGGTGCATTACTGAGCCACTTCATTCAGCCTCTCTACATCACCAGCATGGTGCTCGGTAAAAAGTCTCAAAGCAATTGATCAGCATCTTTGGAGTCATTTTTTTAATTTGCTTTCTTGCCTTAAGAGTTGGTTTATTCAAGTCTACATCTGGATGCTAAACAGCAGGTTCCTGGTCCAAGCCAAGAAGTGGTCTGTTAGATGTTACAACTAAGCTAAATGTCAAACGTGGACGGACATGAGTGGTGTCCTTCATTTCGTCTAAAACTGTGTAACTCTCCCTTGAAATCCAATTGTAAGTGAAGTTAGCTGAAGGTGGTGTTTTGTAAGCGTAGCAAATTGATATTTTATATCATAGTGGTAAGATTTCTCAACACAACTTATGAATAGACAGTTATCAGTTGTTGTACAGATTGTATGTGGGTTGATCACCTGTGTCCTTGTAAACCCCTTGAAACATACTGAAATCTGTGCTGATTTCAGGCGGCCAGAAGCTCATTAACGAAGAGGTGTCTGATGTCACCAATGTGGATGGTGATAAATGGGAGGAGTTTCTGCCGCCACCCTACAAGAAACACAACATGGTCTGCCTCTGTGGCGACTACGTGGGGCCTGTTGTGACCTTGTCCCAGAACGACAACCTCAGCATCAATTGGTGCCTTGGTGACAAGGATATTGAAGTTCTGGACAGTCGCAAGGGCTACATTGTTGAAGGGTAAGATGTAGATGCTCTGCACACTGTCTTTTAGAATATAGTCACCTTAGGAAGTGGATAAAATGTGCAGGAAGCTGACTCTGCATTTAAAATGTGGGACCAGTGTAATGTCCTGTTCACCCCTTGCAGAGAGTCTCGAGCTGACTGTACCTTACCTCATCCTCGCTCCTTCCATCCATGGATATAGCAGAATTGCTTCCAGAGCCCGCAGCACTTTGTTTGTCAGATCAGTGAGGTCTCCGGCTCTCGCCATCTCTTGGCTTTGGAGCTGCAGACATCCACTGATGTCCAGTAACTAGAGTGTGACACAGATGCAGCTCTCACTGGAGGCTGTGTTTTCCTTGAGTGGAGATTACAGGCAAAAATAGATTTGCGATCCTGCTCAGTGTTGCTGCATATGTCAGCCTCTGTCCTGCAGCCTGAACTGTTCTTTTTTTAAGCGACACCATGGGTTAAAGTGTCAGTTTGAGGTTTTGTAGCATGTTCCTCAACAATAAGTGGAAAATAGAAAAACAGGTGAAGAGGAGCAAGAACACCTAAACTGAAAAACATTAGAGCATGAAAATGAAAGCCAATTATTCCTCACTTCTTTCAGCTTGATTTTCAACTGTGAGGCAATAAATAGTTTGCCACAACATTTGGCTTGCACCCACATTTCTTGAATTCTGCTCAAAAAAATCGTTTATGTGGAAAATATGTTGGTAAAAAAAATAAAGGAGTAAACTGGAAAACTGGAGACAGTGTATTGATTAAAGAACAGACCTTGAAGTATTTTAAAATCAGTCAGCCATCTGCTAATATCAGCTTCTGTCACTGCTGTTACACCAATAACAATGGGTTTCTTACATCCCTGCTCCACTCCCCACAGTCCTTTACCAGGGTTCAGCCTTTGGGAATGGGTTTGCAGCAATAGTAAAGTCTTCAGTAAATCCTGATGTTGTATCCAGAATTTAAACGAATAGCACTGGATGTGGAATCGTCACTAAGAACAAGTTAATAAAATGACCTAAAATCCCTAGAAGCAGTGCTGAAATAAACCCACATCTATTTTTACAGTTTCTGGTCTGCAAGTTAATACTCAAAGGGTGACCGACCAAAGTCCCTCACTGGGACTGGGATCCAAGACAAACAACATAACTATAGTGATTTATGTTTTTCTTATTTCCCAGCTCTCCCTGTATGAGTGGGCCTGGCTTTTCCAGCAGGCTCTGCAAGAGAGCGTTCTACAATTACTTCCTAGGAGTTGCAGAGCTGAGCGGGCAAAGCTATCTGCTGGAGTTTCCCACCTACCACAGCGCCAAGGTGTGTGTCAGTGTTACATTGTTACATCAAAGCTCATTTTGAAGTTGTGGCACTGTAGAGCTCATCAGACGTGGCAATGGTGAACATGCAGTGCTTTCTGCAGCCGCTGTGGTCGCATATTGTTGTTAATGGCTTGTTGGCTCTTTTATAGGTGGAAGCCGAAGTCTACCAGACGGTCAAAAATCTTGTCAAGCAACAGTTTGCAAACATCAACGTAGGTCCGTGGAATTCAAAAGAGATGGTGGATTGCTTTCATGCTTGAACTCTTTTTTTCTTCTTCATCCAGAAGCTTGCCATGTTGAAGTTTATCCAAGTTCCTCTCGAGATTTTGTTCAGTGTTGTTCTGGAGTCAAAACATCCTTTAAAGTTATTTTATATATATTTTTATGTAGAGCGTTGGTGTTGTTTTCTGTTTGTGTAGGTGTGAAAAATAAACCAGACCTTAGCGCACCACAGTGAAGTAGTCAGTTTGAATGAGTTGTGGGTGGAATCACGCAGCTTTACAGGCTAAAGCTCAAGGGAAACATTTTCCTCGTCCTGTCAAACAGGATTGAGCGACATTTTCACCCTGTCGTTCTGTAGCCAAAAGGTCAACAACACAGCAAGTTGTGTTAAAGTGCTGAACAAATTACACAACCAATCGCTGGTATGAAGAACCATTATGAACAGGTAAATATCTTGTTTTAGAATTTAGTGATTCATTAAATTTATTGTATGATTTAATGTGGGTTAAGATTTCAAATCATCAGCTGAAGAACCACAGATGTGTTCAAAGTTAAAGGTTTCAACTGCTGAATGTCCTCTGTCATAACACTCACGGACCACTTTAGCAGGTGTGTTTGTTCAATACTCAAAGTATTAGAAACACACTTTAACACAAGGCTTTCTAAAGCACCACGAGTAAGACCTCAGTCATGAATATAAAGTACAATTATCACAAAGCTGTTGGTTTGTGCTAGATCAATAGATGGTACAGGTGTACCTAATAAAGTGACCAGTGTGTGAATATCGATCTAAGTTTGAAAACGTCATCTGTCGAAACAGCAATGAACCTCAGATGGGACATAAAGTACAAAATGACAAATTATACACAATTACATGTTTATCACAGAGACTTGGTCAGAACACACACAAGTCACAAAGACGGCATAACAATCATTTCAACACAATTACAATTACGGTGTACGGACTGTAGCATAATTATTTAGTTTAATGTGAAGTACATAGAAAGAGACAGAGGCAGGAACACAGGGAGATTTGCGTCATCTTGAATTAAAAATGTTTTGTGTTTTTTTTTCTCATCCAGACTGTGGGTTCATTGTCACCATGGCTCCACTCACCAGTTGCTTGGCAACCAACTCCTCCTTGGAATTGATGCAACCACTCATGTCTTCATAATTATAGGCTCTTTTTACAATATTTAGCAAAAAACAAAAAAAACTGTAGAATAGTAAAAAACTAAATGATCTAATGAAGGTGGAATACAATGGGGCTTTTTAATTAATCTACACTGATTACACATCTCTGGGTTTAAGCTGCTGGGTTTTTTGGGGGGGAGTTGCAGTAATTTGTATGTCGACGTCCAAATGTGTGTTTTATCTTTGTTCTTGCTGATCGAGCAGGTGATTCCTCCAGCCGGGAGCCAGGTTCACCTCCCTCTGAGAAGCAGGGCCTCCTGCGACCAAGGGGCTTCTCTGGGCTCGAGGGAGAATCAGGGAATTCACAAAAAGGCCTGAAAGATAATTAAATATCTGAATAATCAGAGCTGCTATATTTCATTTATCCTCTCACATATCCTCTGGGTTAAACGAAAGGTTAGCTATCGAGGATAGTGAAGGAAACCTGTAAGAAATGGCAGTTACATAATGTCAGCTTTGTTTGAACTGGATTAATTACAAAGGCTTGCATGTAATTATTCAACGTTGGTGCATTCTCATTAACGTATGCAGTGACATTCACTGTGACTCGAGCAGCTGAGGGACTGATGACCGGCTACATCTGTGATCGTCTCATAAGGAGGCTGAACCACAATAACATGATTTATACCATTTAATTGCAGCTTTAATTGTCTCACAATAGATGAGGATTTAGGAATTGATAACGAGTATAATGTCATGGGAAGAATGTCACAGAAAATGGTTTTTGAAGAACTCATTAAGGATGATAATTGAAGCTGAAACAGTTGCTTGATTTTCCTCATAACGCATTTCATGATCCTGCCTCGCTTTTGTTCCATCCTGTCTTAAATTTCCGTTGAACTTTGAATTAATCTTGGATTATCTTTTTTTTTTTCCATTAACTGAAATGATAGTGTTGACAGACTGATGGTTATGGTTTTTAAGAGGATTGTGTGCCGCTTATCTCACCTAGATTCGGCCTTTTGCAGGACGAGTCTCTCTGGCTGGAGTCGGAGGAAGCTGACGTGCTTTCCGTGGAGCTGGACTTGACTGAGTGGACAGACGGCACTGATGCTCTCGGAGGATTTGATTTGGGTTTGGCAACAACTCCAGCCGAGGCAGAGTTGCTCCACTCTGGATGACAAAAATGCAGGTAACACAAATCAAACTCAAAGTGAAAGCTGCTGTTCGTTACTGAATCTTTGGGAAGTGCAGGTACTGGTTATTTTGATTGAATTGAAGTTAGTTTTAACAGTTACATAACGCTGTGTGTGGCTATCATACCGGAACACTCCTCCAGTCGAAAACGTCCGAAGCAGAGGTGAATCCTCCACTGTTTCCTGACGTTCTCCTTCGTCAGACAGTGGAAGAAGAAGATGAAAAGTCCTGGAATATAAAGAAAAGTGATGTCACAAGTTGTGCTGGACCAGATTGAGTCCTGGCTGATGGCTCAGTTTGTCCCCTCGGCAGATAATGTTGATTTGTCCTTGAGGAAGGTAAACAGTGGAGGTTTGGTTGCATCAGATAAAACATAAAAGAAACAGATAGTTGTGAAAGGGTTGCATCATTTAACTTCTGTTTGATTTCTTCCTTTTTTATCCTGAGTTGTTTTGGTTCTTTTGAACTGTGAATGTGAAGTGGGATATTCAGGAAAAATTTACGAGCGGGCCTCATGCGGGAAGGAAAGCAGCAGGACAAATTTAAAACACAACTATGAAAAATATTTGCTCATCTAGTTAATTTGATCAAACCCTGTTTACGGTCACAACTAAAGTTCATGAGGAGGTTTGTGTTTCTGAGGTCGGACAATTGTAAATCAACTGTGTCATAGATGTGCCAAACCATGACATGGATAAAGAGTGGATGGTTTGACATGAAGTCTGACTCTTTCACTCTCCCTGACAGAGACCTGCATAAACACCCCGAGGCAGCCGTCGGTGTCAGGGTCTGAATATAGAGATGGACAACGTGGCTCCACTTCTTCACACTATCCAGAAGTGAAGGGTCTGTGACCTACACTGCAGCCAGCCACCAGGTGGTGATCAAGAGGCTATGCCTTCATTTTTGGCTGTCATGTTGTCCATCTTTTTATACAGACTTCTGTGTCTGTATAAAATAAACCAAAGTCTTTTTGCTGTCAAAAATACAATTTCAAAATCTTAAAGAAATTTAAATTTTGATCATGAAGATGAAGACATGGTAGAAATGTTTTAGATAGCCACACTTCAGATCCATTCATGTTTGGGCATTATACTTAAATGAATGTTTTTTTTAAAAAGGCAGATTGTCTGTTTATGACTGATGACAGGTGTGGACTATTTGTTAATTATGTTAACCTCAAATTATGTTTTTCAGAGATGTGAGTGAAACTGCATTTTCCTACAAACTACACCTTTACTTAGAATATAAAATATGACATCACAGCTCTGTTCACCCTCAGCCTGAGCAGACGCTTTATCAGTCAGTGAAAACACTTGAGTTGTGCCCGACCCTTAAATCAGTCACACATGCCACTTAAGAACAAATCAGTTCGAGGCCTGTTCCCTCTCAGCTTTCTGTCAAAGTCTCTGAACAAAACAACAGAAACCTTGCAGGGTGTTGAGTCCAGAGAACAGGTACAGCATAACTGTTCTGGCCGGTCCCCAGGTAAAAAAGCCAACTGTCCACGTGAGTCCAAGTAACAAGGTGAGACTGGCAACTCCCTTCAGGTCGTGCATCAGCCCACTGCGGATTCCAGCCGGGCTGTTGGCTCTCATGTGGCGGATCTGGATCAAAACCACCACAAAGACCTAAACAATAAAATACAAAATATGGATTTTAGAGTAGATAAATGACAAAGAAATAATAATGGATTTTATAACAAGGGATGCAAGGTTACATACACATTCCAGGCTACATAAGCTACAAAGCCTGGTCCGTCTATATTGATATCAAAGTTCATGATAATACATTCTATTAAAGTGTTAGAATTAAGTGTCAGACTGATACATCCTGTAGCTGGAGAATAATGTGATGCATTCACCAGTTAAATGGAAACATAAAACAGTTTATCAACTTAAATATGAACATAAGAAAGTAATTTTTTTACCCCAGTGTTGAAGAGAAAGATCAGCACGGCGTAGGCAACCACAGACACGTAAAAGGTCACGTTGTCCTGCAGCCAACAGCTGAAGAAACAAGGATCGAGCGGAAAAACAGATTTATAAGAAATGTAAAGATGACTTGGAACTTTTTTCTCTAAAAAAAACTGTGCCTGACCTCCAAATGTCACAAAACTGTCTAATGTTACGTGTTCAACTCAAATTGAAGGTGAACAGAGGACACAGAGAAACTTTACCTCTTCAGCGGATGAATTTGAGAACAGCCTGCTCGTCTTAAGCTTACTATCACGCAGGGATAAGATTAAAAACATGGTACTTTTAATAAATCTGAAAGTCACCAAAGTGTGATTAAGTGATAATTCTACTTTGCAATACCAACCAAACTGTGCAGAAGTTTTTTACATTTTAATCTTAAGCATCTGATTGAAGCCCTCGTGTTTCAAAGATGAATCCAGACACGAAGAGTGAATGATTATAAATAATACAAGATGAAGCTGAAACTCACAAGTTGTCAGATTGATCTATTATGTCTAAGCTGTGTTGAGCGTCTGTGTAGAGGTGACTGCCGTAGGCCTCTCTGTTCAGGATGAGCACCAGGATGCAGATCATCAGAGGAAGCCCTGGAGGAGGAGTGTACAGAATGTATCACAGCCTCAGAAAGAATAACCATCACAATTATCTGCTTTCAATTAGCATTCTCCTAATACAAAGAGCCGATCCCACAACTCACCCCATCCCAGAGCACAGAACTTGAGGATGTACGAGGGCACGTAGACGTTGAAGACTTTGACGAGGGCGAAGTACATGTTTACAGCTTCTAACCCCATCCAGGTGAATGAGGCCAGGAGGAAGTAGTGCAGCGCAGCGGCTGCAGCGACACAGAGGGCGTACAGACCCCAAGAGGACAGCCAGGAGTTGACCAGGAACAC